GGAACTGGAGGGAGGAAATGGATGAGTTTTACCCATTTATATTTGCATGTAAAAAATTTCCAATAAAATTAAAGATTTGATTTTTTTGAAAAGCAAAATAAACAAATGAATGTATGCCTTGAATTGGTAGCGTAGTCAAACAGGGAAGAGTTAAAAGAGAGAACAAATTTTGGAAACTGTTTTGAGAACAAAAGCATGGAAAAAATAAGAAAGAGAAGTCAATTTGTGGTGGTTGTAGGTAATAATACTGACATTGTTATTCTAAAACACACTGGGAAGAAGAAGAAGGGACCACAAATCTCATCAAATTTGGCATATGCTTTCCATGTAGGCACAGAGACCAAAGGTACTTGCTAATGATATCACAGAGACCAAATGCACTTGCTAATGACATCATAGAGATAGATATACTCAGTGACAAGTATAAAATGTGAGACAGTTGGTCTGGTGACAACTCAGTTTCTTTAACAAAGCAAAGTGGGATGATGGTTGCTAGTGATTAAAAAGACCCAAGAGATATACAAATTCTCTGCTAGTTCTTTACCAGAAGGTAGTAACTAATGTCTCATTCTTTAAATTAGTGCTGGCCTTAATAAATTGCTTAACCAAAGAAACTAGTGAGAGTGGACATCCTGAGGATTCCAGGACTAGAAACCTGGCAGATGTCCCAAAAGCCCCTCCGAGCATCTTTTCTGGGACCTCCTACACCCCCTCCTAAGAGCTGGAGTCCTCTTAGATCAGAATGCTGGAGACACCAGCATGTGCTAGACTAGGAATGATGCCACTTTGGACCCTCTACGTCAGCTGTTTTCAGTGTCTCATATACAGATGTTTCTCCTAGTCAAATTACTGATCGGTAACATTTCAAGCTATAACATGGCTATTGTTTGTAATTGCTAAATTTTGAAGTGACCTATTTAATAATGATATATGGAGAAGGTAACAAATTATACTTTGTAACTTGTATTTTACATTTTGAGTGTGTGTGTGTATACATCTATACATACATACATACATACATATATATATATATATATATATATATATATATATATATATATATATATGCGCCATGGCATCTGTGTAGAGGTCACAAGACAACTTGCAAGAACTGGTGCTTTCCTTTCATGATGTGGATATTAGAGATAGAACGCAGGTTCAGGTTTGGTGGCAAGAACCTTTTTTTTTTTAACCCACTGAGTTACCTTCCTTGACCAACATTTCATATTTTAAGCCAGAAGTTGAGATGTAGTGTTGGTAGAAGGTTTGCGCTGGTGGTGAGGTGGGTGGATGAGAAACAAGGCAAAAGACACATTGGGTGTGTGTGTAATATTTGTAAGGTAACATTGTATTATGATGATAATGATAGCTTATAAATTGTGTGAGAAATTAAGTTGCCTTATTTGAGATTTCCCAACTAACCAGTGACAGGAAATTAATTTGGGAAGAGAAAAAAAGATGCATAATTATTTCTTTCATTATGAACGTGCATTCCTGACATCTCTGAGGACTAAGAATTTCCTGTAGGGAATATGATTAAAGTTAAAAAGAAGGAAAACAAAATAAGTAAGTCAGCTTTTGATCCTGCTGCTATATTTACCCACAAAAAGGAGGCAGCTCTCAGGTGGGCTTTTGTTCGAGTAATGTCCTGAAATCCTTGTGTAAAAGAACAATATGAAATCTCAATTCTCCCAAACGGTTTGGGGTGAGTTCAGCTCTTGAGCCCCTGGGGGGCTTGGTTCCCAAGGAGACTAATCCCACTTGCTCAGCATTAGGCATCACCAGGAGGAAAGAGCTCTAGTCTGGAGATCTGCGATCCCTTGGTGCAGGCGGGAGTTGAGTCCCTTTGCTCTATAGGAAGTGAAATGTATTGATGTCAAAGCCACTCAAGTGAATGCTCTCACTCAGGGGGTAGGAGGAGGGGCAGAAGGGCCTGGCAGGAGTGAGCCACTGGCTCAACTAAAGCCAATTTCATCCCAGATAGGACTCTTCTAAAAAAGAGAGAAGATGAAGGGGAAAAGCAACTGAGGCCATGAGTCATACTAGGTACAGATAATGTATCTGGTTAAGAACTCTCTGGTTTCAGAAATAGAACGTATTCTTTCAAGAAAAAGTTATTCTTTGTATCTTATTCCACATTTTTCCATAAACACCATTGCTTTCACTTACTCATGCCTTTTTCTGGGATGGAGAGAGAGAGAGAGAGAGAGAGAGAGAGAGAGAGCATATTTGCTTGAAATACTAAGACATCATTTAAGTAATTGCTCCAATACTACCCTGTCTATATAAATATCTTTTCTACTTTGGACAGCCTTGAGGGTCCTTTTATCCCATCAACTCTCGCGCCTTTAATTTATTAAGGTTGTAGATTACACTGACTTTTGTGTATGTCTGCCTTTGCAGTAGAAAAGGTTGGAATCACAGCTTCTTATCTCTGCATGTCCAGTATATGTACAGCCGAGGGCGAGTGTTAATATTTTTCTGCCAAATGAATAAGTCACAGGATGGGCATAGATGTGAATATAAGGGTCAGCTTTGTGAACCATGAAAAGTTATAAATATTTTTCTTTTCTATACATATAGTTGTCAACAGACTTTCACTTTTGTTATCTTGTTAATTTTTCACCAAACAGCTCTCATTTATTTCTATTTTATAGGTCAGAGTCCACAGGAGAAGTTTTGTACTGTCAAAGGCAACATTTTGCAAAAGTTTTGTAAAGGCAAAATTGAACTCCAGTTTTAGCCTCTGGCTTTAATTTCAGCACTTCCTCCACCATACTCCACTGTCTGTTTAAAGTCCACATAAGCCACAGGCACAGCCACTTTCTTGCACTTGCAGATAGGCACTTGGTTGGGGACGATGGACAAATGACACAGACTTTATAGTTTGCTATGTTGGAATAGAATGGGTTGGATATAAATCAAGAAATGGAGTTCCTTACTCCAGATGAAGGGATGAGATAGCTTTCCCACTACTGTACTGGAAGAATATTTGCCAGTAACATTTACCTACTATGTCATATAACCATTTCAAAACCCATGAGAATGAGAACAATTCTGACTGATCTCATTTCTCAGAAGAGGAATGGAAAAGATACAGAGAATGAACTGACCAGCTAAGGACACCAGGAATAACAGGCACAGCCAGAATCGTAACTGGCCTCATCTAAGGGCAAATCAGCTTTGATGTGCAGAAGTCCAACTGTCTAGAAATGAAGAAGGATTTTCATAGATGAATCTTCATAGTGACTTATTTTAAATATGATTGTTAGAATTTTTTTTCAGTCTTTCAAGTGTAGAAATCTTGTGCAGTTGGCTTCTGGATATTTCCTTTTCTCTTTCTCTTTCTCTTTCTCTTTCTCTTTCTCTTTCTCTTTCTCTCTCTCTCTCTTTCTTTCTCTCTCTCTCTCTCTCTTTTGAGACAGGGTTTTTGTCCTAGACTCACTTTGTAGACCAGGTTGGCCTCAAATGGACATTTCTAATTAAAATCTTGGCATCTTTATTGGACTCTGGGTGCCTGGCTGATCTTGGACATCTTTGAGTGAACCTGGATGTAAGGTACATGACAACTGAGCCAACTTGAGTTACAACACACAGTCTGATTCAGCCTTATGGGTTTGAGTAAGTGCCTATTCCCATCATCTAAATAAAGCCTGTCTTCTTTGGTAGGGGTATATGCTCCAATTGCTGCAGAAGAATGGGCGAGAAGAGAAGACGTTTAGAAGACATGGTCTGTACCTCTTCAGCGACCCTGATGACTATGAGAACTTTGTCATATGCTCAGGGCTTTCCTATTGTGGCATCAGTTAATTCTAACGAATTCCTGTGACAGAGAAGGCTTGTCAAGGGGTGCAGCCATTTCCACAGGTCGAGTGTTTTATAGTAAATGCTATATGGGTCCAGTGAGGTGGCTACCTCACCAGCGTTTAACATGAGTAAGCTTTGCATGGTCGGGTTGTCCAAAGCCAGGCATCCGGCAGGGCCAAGGCTTTCACTCCCAGTCTCAAGGCTTTTGAATGGTAAGGCTTACGTTAAACCAGAACCAAATATTTTCTCAATTATCTTTCATGCTGGGCCATGTTGTTCATTTCCTCCATTCCAAGAGAAACGAATATCTGGTTAAAAGTGTGTCCTAGCGAACCTCAAGGTGATCATTCAAATACAATGGAAGCGTGTGGAGGACAGTCTATGTGGCTTCCGAAGTAGCACAGAGGATAAGGAGCTGAGAGCTGTCCGTCCACACACCCTCGGCTCTCCACCAAGAATTGGCTTAGGGAGACTGATTTTGGACCAAGGGCTGGCTTCAACTTCCTTTAAACTAGTAGTAACTACTATCAATCAAGCAGTAGAAGAAAGAACACTGGACTCGAAGGTCCCAGGGAGACTTATCAGAATCTTATGATCAGAAGTTGAGTTTGAAAACATATAACTTCCCACCGTCTTCAGAAAGACAAGGCCAATAAGGAACAGACTAATCAGTTTGAGAATGGCCTTGTTGTCTGACTGGGCTACAAGTGGTCAATCCTCTGAACGTCTCAGAGGTCCAGTTTCTTTTGTTGAATAGTGACGAAAACACTCAGTGCACGGGGCTGTTGGACAGGATTAAATGCGGTAAAGTATGGACTCAGGCCTGCTTTGCCTTAAGGACACTGTCCAGGGCCAGGGTGTGATTTTTTTTTTTTTTACACGTACTCGAGCTGATGTTTGAACACAGGCTTTCTTGTCACCCCTGGTGGTTGAGGCCAGTCAGAACAAATGCGCCGGGGCACAGTGAGAGGAAAGAGTTAAGGCTTGGGAAAGCTCAGAAAAGCCCAAGTCCGCACCCCCACCCCCCAACCGTCTCCAGCGCCCCCTTTCCGCCCCCCTAAGCCTGGCTAAGTAAGCTCCGCCCCTCTGCTACCGGGGCGGTCGCCTTGCTCCCTCCCTCCGCCCCTGGTTTACAAGATCTAATGAGCTCCCCCGGGAGGCTGAGCCGCGAGTTGGGGCGGGAGCAAGCAGACGGCGCTGCGCCCGGGCGGGAGGCGGCCGGGAGCGCACGGGCCGCGCAGCGGACAGCGCAGGAGCCGCGGCGATGGCGGTGCAGGCTGCGCTGCTCAGCTCCCACCCCTTCATCCCCTTCGGCTTCGGAGGCCCGGCCGACGGGCTGGTGAGCGCCTTCGGAAGTTTGGATAAGGGCTGCTGTTTCGAGGACGATGAGAGCGGCGGGTCCGCGGGGGCGCTGCTGTCGGGATCGGAGGGCGGGGACGTGCGCGAGGCCACCCGCGACCTGCTCAGCTTCATAGACTCGGCGTCCAGCAACATCAAGCTGGCGCTGGACAAGCCAGGCAAGTCCAAGCGGAAGGTGAACCACCGCAAGTACCTGCAGAAGCAGATCAAGCGCTGCAGCGGCCTCATGGGCACCGCGCCTCCGCCACCGCCGTCCCCGAGCGCGCCAGACGCTCCAGCCAGGCGGCCGCCGGGACCCCCGGGAGCCCCGGCCGTCGCTGCCCCGGCGCACTGCAAGGCCGCCCCGCGGAGGGAGGCGACCCAGGCGGCGGCTGCCGCCAGCCTGCAGAGCCGGAGCCTGGCTGCCCTCTTCGACTCTCTGCGCCACGTCCCCGGGGGCGCAGAGACGGCAGGCGGAGCGGTGGCCGTGTCGGTCCCGGGCCTTGGGGCGGCGAGCTCTGCGGGCGACGGGGCAGGCACCGCGGGGAGCTTAGCGGGCCCCGGCACCAAGAAGGTCCCGCTGCGCGCTCGAAACCTGCCCCCGTCCTTCTTCACTGAGCCGTCCCGGGTGGGAGGCGGCGGAGGCGGAGGCGGAGGCGGCTGCGGCCCCTCGGGTCAAGGCGTGAGCCTTGGTGACCTGGAGAAAGGGGCGGAGGCCGTTGAGTTCTTTGAGCTGTTGGCGCCGGACTTCGGCGCCGGCAACGACGCGGGCGTCCTGCTGGCCTCGGACCCTCTCGACCCGTTCCCCGCCGGAGCCGCCGTCCTACGGGGACCCTTGGAGCTGGAGTCTGGCCCCTTTGAGCCGCCCGCTATCGGGGGGAACCTACTCTATCCGGAGCCCTGGAACGCTCCGAGCTGTCCTCAGACCAAGAAGCCTGCCCCGGCTGGCGTTCGCGGCGGCGTGACCTTGAACGAGCCTGTGCGCCTCCTGTACCCCACCGCTTTGGACAATCCAGGTGGGGAGGACGCACCAGCCTTGGCATCTTTCACCCCCTTCTTCCCAGATTGTGCGCTGCCGCCGCCCCACCAGGTGTCCTATGATTACAGCCCGGGCTACAGCCGCGCAGTTTACCCCAGCCTCTGGAGACCCGACGGGGCCTGCTGGGAAGGGGCTTCTGGGGAAGAGGGGGCACACCCAGACTGACTGCGAGGTACCCTTCCCTTTCCTTATGACTGCTGTGGGCTGCGTGCCACTGTGGGTCTCTCCTGAGGGGAGAGAACGATGGGAGAACGCAAGTGACGACAAAATGGGATTTAAAAAAAAAACACAAAAAAACAAAACAAACAAACCCGCCATTCAGTTAATAAAAGAAACTTGGGGAAAAGAGGAGTTATTTTAATCACAGCCTCAGATTTCCCCCACCCCCCTTTCCTTTCTTTGTAGGTGTCCCATAGATTCTTCCTTGGACCAGAAGAAACCCAAAAGCCCAAGATAGGGTTTGGGGAATAATCGGGTAGGGCGATGGAAGGAAGGGTCACGAGCAGGATGGGGCTTTTGTAGCCACCTGTCTCCTCTCAGTTCAGCCAAGGTCAGTGTGTTCACTGTCATCCCCCTTTAAACAGTGCCCTGGTGTCCTCTCCTGAGTGCATTATGAATTAAAGCCTATACTGAAAGAACTGGAGCAGAGGTATGTGGTCATTGAGTTGAGCGTTTTGTGTTTTGTTTTGTTTTTAGTCTTAGTGATTTCACAGATTTCTCAGCTTTGCTAGGCGGATGCTGTGGGTGTGGCTGGGCGCTGACAAGGCCAGATCCCAGCGTTGGCTTTCCTTCTCTCCCCCCTTTCCTTTTTAGGGGGCGCGCGGCTGACAGTGCCATTACGGTTAATTTTTCACAGTGTTGGGTATTAAACCCAAGGCTTCAAACACGTTAGAAAAAGTGCTCTACCACTGAGTTTTATCCCCAGCCCTGAGTGTGATTTTCTTCTTTCATTCCTAGGATCACCCCCCCCCCCCGCCCCCATTCCGCTTTTCTGCTCTTACCTGTATATGGCTCACCTCTCCTCTTGCTCTAACTTCTCATTGTTCTCTTTAGGTTTGCCTTCTTTCAAATTTCTGAGTTGGGAGGAAAAAACAAACAAACAAAACAAAAAACAAAACGGAAGTCATTTCTCTCTTTTCCTTTTCCTCTTTACCAGCCGTTTTAGGATGGGGGAAAGGAGACAGGTTGTAACCTCTTTGATTCTGAGTTTCCGTATTATAACAGAGAATGACAACCTTTTCTCACTTCTCATTCTGCAGCTGTTTGGGAGTCTCAGAAGTGTCTTGAGACTTGCATTGTTTGGGCCTGCAGGTGTACATGTATTTTACAAGCATGTAAGTGCCTTCTGCGCTAGAAAGCTCAGCATGTAATTTTTACATTTTGTTTGTTTTGTTTTGGGCCTTACAACAGCTCTATAACTCCCCAGCCAATCCTTGTATCTCAAATCCTTGCTCCCCAGTCCCTACCTTCCTGATCTTCCCCACTCCTTGTACCTCGCCATGATAGGGAGTGGTGGAGGGTATGTTTCCATAGGAGGTTTTCCATTCCCTTTATAACCTGTCTGAGGGAGGCCTGGATGGAGACATGGAGGGGAAAAGCCAGAGGAATAGTTCAAACAGTCAGGAAGGTGGCTGAGAGGATTCACAGGACCGTCAAGATGACTGAGAGCCAGAGAAGGAAAGCCTCTGTGGGAAGAGAGCAGCTGGAGACAAGAAAGGAGGCTGCTGAGTGCAGGCGCACAGGTGAGAATGGAAGAGCGCAGTACTTCAGAAACTGATTAGGGTGTGTCCACGGCCTTGATGGCTGCTTCTGTGCAAGGCAGCGAAGCCAGGTTGTCTGAAGATCTACATGTGAGAAAGGGCAATCAGTGTTGCTGCAAGGGATAAAAAAGCCAGGGCCAATGTCTGTGAAGACAGAAAGCACTGCTGTAGATTTTGGAAAGGAATTGTTAAAAAAAAAAAAAAAAAAGTGTATGAAGCAATGTTAGGCATTTGGCAAAATGCTTTTACCAAATCACTTTCTTATGAGCAAAACTGGAGCAGTAACCATGAAAAGAACTTTGCAACTCTAGGATCCTGGCAGCTAGCTGGATTTATTCACAGTAGTGAAAGTGATTCATTTCATTGTGCTAATGGCAGGCACATTACTCAACAGGCATTTAATTTATCTAAGGTGTTTTATGGTGAGAAAATCCAGGGTAGGATTTCACAGTCAGATGTTAACACTGTGACCGTTCACAAGGTTGACTGTCACTGTAGTGTTTCTTGAATTTCTCCTTCCTTCTTACCCAATTTAGTAAAAACAAGATCTCTTTGGCCAGTGCCTTGTTTGAGATGCCCTCCGTCCATGAGACGAATACCAACACCACATGTTTCTATGTGCCAGGGGCTGAGCAAAGCCTCCCGTTTACCGATCTTCTTCCCGTGGGTGGTGGTTGCTCCTTTGAAAGCTGAAGCTCAGATAGACAAGACAACTCCAACTCGCTGAAAGCAAGTGGTGGTGGGTTCAGATGTACCGGGACACCAAGACGTGCCTGACATTGGTGAGGTTTTGCTATGTTTGGTGCACGTGGATTCCCGACCCTTACACCGTGCCAGAAGCGGAGGTTCTGACCCCTTGGTGCTGTTGACATTTTGGGTACCACACTTCTTTACTGTGTGGACTTCCTGCACACGGCCATGTTCCGAAGCTTGCCCAGGCTTGTCCAGCGGTACTCTGTTGGTTGTGACAACAAAATCTATCCCTATTGTCATATGTGCCCTCACAGGCAAAATTACCACTGGTTGAGAATTATTATGCCAGGTAAATATAAACTCAGTGCCTGTGAGGTAACCAGAACTTTCCCATGAACCCAATTTATTTGTTTATTATCTTGTTTATTTTACATTATCTTATTTAATCTTATTAGAGGTCTGAATTTAGGTGTTATTATTTTTCCTTTTTATTATTGGTAAATAATGAAAAGGCTGTTCTAGAGAAGGGCTAAATTGGTTAACTTAACAGCCACAGGCCAGTTACTGTACTGAATTGTGGTTTTCCTGTTGGCAAACTGGAGAGCAATCTATCACAGAGAATTATTGTAAGATTTTGCCATAAGGTGTTTATAAAAGCCCACTGAGAGGGAGGGGTCAGTTTTGGTAGTCTAGACTTAGCATTATGTTAAGCCATCTTGGTTTCCAAGCTGTTGTATACTGGACCCTGACTTAGCACCCTCCCCATTTCCCCGTCTCTGGTTCCTCTTTTTCTCATGTTCCCTTCCAATATAAGTTTATCTGTCTCTGGCTGTGTCACCCACTGTAGTGCAGTAAGTGGGTTACTCATAGCCAAAATAGAAAATGTGTCTTTCCAGTCATTTTAAAATCTGTATTTTATTTCTTGTGCAGCCACATAATTAATTATCCAAGAGGAATTATTTTTAAGTACAATGATAGATATTTCTCAAGACCACTAGTGCAGTGTACTTATACTTGTATGATTGGACAAGCTTGAGACCCTCGCTAGTTGGTAATTGTATGTGTAGAATATATACTCTTTAATGCTTCTTTAGCTGGTCATTCTTCATTCTTGGAATGAAGTGACATCCTGCAACTTCATAACGTCCCTTCATCTTCATTCAAGCTGCCACGTACCTTAGTACCCATCATCATACCACTAGGTCCTGACAAGAAGAGAACCTTTGTTTTGGTCTCTCCTTTTCCTATACCTGTTTCAGTTTCTCTCTGCAATTATCAGGACCTCATCCTGACCTTGCTGCCCAGAATCCTGCCTGCCCTTCTCCATGAGAAAGCACTGTTCCATTTATTATTTGTGTTCTGTGTTATTGACCTACCTGTCTCCTCATTTCCCCCTCACATTCTGGAAATAAATCTTTAACATAATTTTTAAAATTCCAAGGGGTGTGGGATAAATCAAAATGTTCAACCATTTTCTTTCTAAGTACCAATCTCTTAAGAGTCAGATCTTTTGGGGGAAGGACCCACAGGGTTTGCCTCTATCTCACCAACTATTTAAACTGTCACTATTTTCAGTCTAGGGTGATCAACAGTCTAGTTTTCTGTACATTCCCAGGTTTCAAACTGCAAGTTGCACAAATCAAGAAATTTTTAAATCCATAGCACACTCTGCCTACCGCTTCCCAAGAACTGCTGCCTGAAGGCCCCACCAGAATCCAGTTTTCTTTCATTTCTCTATAAACATCCTAAACATGTAATTGTGGGTCCTTTTTAACCTTGTGTCTCTGTCTTCTCTGCAGAGTGGATGTCCTCAGTATTCTTCAGAGTTCTGTTGTCTACCCTTTTTCCTTTACACTCCTCACATTCTTCCTGGGAGATGGTGGATTTCTCCATGCTATTATCTATTTTGTATGTTCTGATGAACACCACCCTGACCCAGCTCTGTACATATAGCCCCTTTCCTCCATATTAGACCATTACCTACCTGCTTTCCAGATAACATGTCCTGGGGGCTCCTTAACTCCCAAAACTCTATGTTTGAAATGAAACATACTCAAACTAATTAGTCACAGTCAACTTAATCACACTATTTCTTGTAGCCTCTCCCATCTATCCAAATGGCTCCAGAGGCCTACTAAATTAGTGTGTTTGTATATATGTATATTTGTTCACGATTTGACATCATGCTCAGTTTACCCATATCCACATTTAGATAAGTTCATGTTCGTATATTCTCATACACAAGAATTGAAGTGTTACTAGGTCCTTATTTATATTAAGATGCATTTTTCTATTTCGATAAATAACTTTAAAAAACTGAAACAAAAAACCAAAATACAAAGCTTAGGTTCTTGTCAAGGAGTCAAGGACACTGATATTTCTTTTCAGTTTATTCCTAAACATAGTCAGTGTTCATTAGACTAAAGTCTCTGGCAGTCTAGTGACTAGTATGATTTAACAGTAATTAAGATGTTGGATCTTCAGCTTGAAAGATACTAACTTAATAAGTCTAACCTGTCTTTCTCCTCCGTTTGCCTGTTAGTGAAACTTCCTTCGTTTGAGCCCTCAGTACTTGTCACCAGACCTATTCCATTGATCTCTTAATGACTTTTTTGTTTCTGTGCTTGCAAGTCTCTAGTCCATCCTCTCCATTACTTGCTAAAGTGAGATTTCAAAAAAGTATCCCTGCTGTAATTACTTTTCTTACAAGTGTTGAGTGGCTTCCTGTTGCTTCCATGGTCAACTCTAAGTTTTTGTTTGCTTATAGGTGTGAATTCTGCCGCGAGCTTCACCCATGACTCCATTAAGGGAATGTATTTTTAAGAAGTTTAATAGTAACCACAGTTACTTGACTGCTACATATACATGAATTTACTAAACTCTATGAGTTTTCTCATGTCCTACGTAAGCCCAGACTACACTGTCCTAATTTCTCTACTTTGCTTTTCAGCATTCATGTCAGCCGCTTAAAAAAATTTTTTTTTGAATCAACTAAGCACTTGTTTTAAAATATTTTGCTCAAGTCCAAGATTATCTTGTGACAACTAATTAGACTTTTAAAAATAGTTGTCATTCTTCTACCTTCTTTACTGGGAGCCTCTGCCTATTGCTTTTGGAACCAGACATCAGGGATACATACTGGTGATTTCTGGATGAGTTTTATATTTGTAAAAGAGACTTCTCACTCTTT